ACATGGATTTCAGGCTCATGGGAATAAGGGATTAAAAACTCAATATTGGCTTCCTTGACCATTTAGAGACCCTTGATTCATCCTTTCAAAAAACCAAAAAAACCCAAAAGATTAGTCTAACTGATCAGCTTTTATCTCTAATGAGCATCCCACAATTCATGTCCTAAATCCACACACAAGGGATCTATTATTTTGGTGGGAACATAAGTGATATATCAATAAACAGGCAAATTTAGACTAATGGCAACAATAAACATAAGTTTATACAGCTATAGTTATCGAAGGCAAGATAAACAGCAACCCCATTTAGAATCTGGTGAAAACCATAGAATTATACCAATCATAATCATATGCAAAAAGTAGGAAAGGGGAGCACAGCTCAAATACAGCAGATAACCAGAATATCCTACAAAATTAAAATTCCCATTTCATAGAGTATTTAAACCAGAAATGAATTGGTTGACAGACAAACTTCTTTGCTCACTGGGACACCCCTAATGTAATCTTCAATTTTTACTTTGAATTGAAACTCAATTATGTAAGTGATTTCATCCTCCACAATTAACCAAGCCATAAAAAGGAAAGCATAAATTATCAAACATTAACAATTAGAACAATGAATAAAAGAAAAGGAGAGGGGAAAAGGGTTAATACTAATTAAGGCTGGATTATGGGAAATGTTTGTTGATTTTGCTTTGGCAAATGCTTCGAGGGAAAGACCAGCCCCTCCCAATCTCTGTATGTTCTTCTTCTTCTTCTTCTTCTTCATCAACGGAGTGGCGGTGAGAAGTCGCTCTGTTACTGCTTCAGTTCAAGGGTTTGCTCGAATCAACTTTGACAGGGCGTTTCCAGCTAGGGTTGTTCAGTTTAGTGGTGGTCGATGACGGTGGCTATGGCTATAGTAGCGGCGACGGGCTAGCGAGAAGGTTTTCCGGTGGGCGTAGCCGCAGAAGGAGTGGAAACTGGAACGAAAAATAAGACTACACCGAAGACTGAAGAAAGAAGAATAAAAAAAAAAAAAAACTTGTGAGACAAAATACACGAGAAAACTAAAATTGAGGACATTTTGTTATTTTAAATGTTAAAATTTTTTATAAAATTATTTAAATATATTTTGAGTAAATTTTGTTTTGCGAGGGTTAATTAAAGATATTTTAATTAATTTATTATTATTTTTAATATTTTGATTGTTAAAATATTTTAAGTTGTTTAATTCAATAGAATTAGTACATATAAAATAGTTCAAATATTAATTTTTAACAAATTTTTATTTAAACTTTTTTTATAAAGTATTATTTTTGATATATTAATTGTCAAATGTCTTAATTTTTCTTAATTTCAAAAATTATAGGTGGCAAATGGTGCACCAGTAAGCAGGAATATATTGTTAAGTTCACTTTTAGACCCTGTAATTTAAACCATTTTTACTTGCGTCTTTTTTTTTTTTTTTTACTTAGAATAATTTAGGGACTAAATCTCTAAACATGTGATTAATAATATAAATAATTTTATCACCAAAATACATAAATAATAGTTGAATTCAAACTTGGATTATTCTTTTCTTTATTCAAACTATAAAAATATATAGTTTTTGCTGCTCTGTAAAGTTGTCGTCTGAAGTTCGGTGCTCCTCGCTTGAATCAATGACAAAAGCAGATAACAAAATTCCCAATTTGCAACAAAATAAAGACAGATTTCTGTTAGCATATCAATGATTCCCCCCCAATTTCCGTCTTATTAATTTAGAGGTTATAACTGACCCTATATTTTTATGCTTTACTACCAAAAAAAAAGAAATCTTGTGTATATAGGATGTTTGGGTTGAGGCAAGAAATAAGTTTTTTAATTAATTAAATTATAATATTTTTAAATATTATAATTTAATTAATAAAAAATTTATTTTATTTCTTTTCTTTAATTTTTTCAAACCAAATATTATTAATTAAATTCAGTGGACACATATTCCACTTTTGAGTTGTAAAGCACTCTCTTATTCCTTCCCTAAAAATTATTTCCACTCAAACAATTTCCCCACGAAACATTATTTGCTTCTCATGCATTTTTCTGCTTCCCTCTATATTTTTAAAATAAAAAATAACGAATAAAAATCGGTTTTCATGTTCCATGCACCATCAGAGAGAGGTCACACATTAAGTTCAGCACTATCAGGCACAACTTGTGTGTTCCCAATCCCCATGCTTACTACAGCCATCTCCAGTGGCGGCTGCTCCACGTTGCTGCTCATCTGGATACTGTTTGTTGTTTGCTCTTGTGGCTTGGTTTCCGGCGAAGTTTCTTTCTTCCTAAGGCTGTAGATGGTGTACAATATCATCTGAGTAACTCCGAACATGAATCCTAGGATGTTTGGTGTCTGAACAAGGAAAGGCAAAATTAATTAATTTATATCTATATATCTATCTATATATATTATATAAAATTCTATTTATATATTAATTAGGATATGCATTTAAAGATCTTTTTTAATTCAAAATTTAGTTGCACGATATATGTGCTTAGATTGCTTAGTTTGAGTAATACTTTAAAAATGTATATTAATTTTTTTTATTTAATATTGAGAAAAAAATATTAAAATGATTCCATACAATGCAGGTGTAAGGCATGAGTATTAAATCTTATTTAATTGTAATTGTTAAATTAAAAGAAAAGAAAATATGTTTGAATCTTTAAATGGGACAATAATGAAAAAAAAAAAAGAACATATATATTTAGATTATGAGATAAATATTAATATTGAATTAATTTGAATTTTCTTAATATTCTTTTTTTTACCTGACTATATACAATTTTTTGAAAAAGTACTATTACTAATTACTAAATTCAATCTTCCGTCCAACCTTAATTATTTAATTAGAATTTGTAAACTACAAATCATTATAAAATTTATAAATTAATAAAAAATAATAAAGAATCAAAATTCTAATATGAAAAATAGAAGAATAATTCCTGAATGCATGGGCTCAAAAAAAATCTAGTTGAGATATTTATTTAGAGATGACGTTTAATTAATTTAATTTGTAGTGTTGATTAATCTCTCCTTACCGATATGTAGTAATCTCTCAGAGAGAAGCCGTAGAGGAACCATGTTATTGCACATAATGTCAAGAAGAATGACAATGAAAATGGCATGTACTTGACGCTCTTTGATCTTATTATTACCAGTCTCTGCACATTTTAGAACATCAAAAAGTCGTTAATTGTTCAGAGATTGGTGTTTCTCAGAAAGGTATTGCTTCTTCCTTTTTTTTTTTTTGGTAATTTGGGTACAGAAATTATCAAAAAGTCATTAATGTATAAAATATTATAAAAAGATTTATTAAGGGTATTTTAGTAATTTCAGTACCCAATTGCATTTTTTTGTGTGCAATTTGTACTAAAAAGAAAATTTATGAATTGTTAATATTAATCATATATAGGAAGTAAATTTAAGTTTTGGAGAACACATGTATGTAATTAATTGTAAGAACGAGCAATAGAATACCATGATGCTAAGAGGAGCTGCATAGACACAAACGGAGAATACAGCACAAATCCATCCTACGATTGTAATTCTTTGAGATCCTTTGGAGAATATGAATGTTAGAATGATGATCAATCCAATTGTCCCAAGGTTAAAGAGGAGCAGAAGCTTTGTTGTGTATATCTACAAAAATATGGTATAGAAAGCAATCAAACTACTTTAATTTTGAGAGATTCAATCTCGACATATATTATTAACCACTGAATCAATGCCTTGTTAATTTAGAACATGATTAATCCTATGATTGTGAAAGTAATATATAAAAAGCCAATAGCATGCATACCCTTGCGCTTCTGGTTGCATATATCATGAACAGAATGAGGTATGTGGATTCAATGACACATCCAATGGAATTGATTGTAATGAGCATGAGTGCATTTGTCTTGAGGAAGGCATAGTAAAGCAACAACATGGCACTGAATAATGCCACTGAATATGGTATGGATTGAAACCCTTCTGTTGATTTTCTCTTGAAGATCTTACAGAAAGTTGGCCTTGATCAAATTAAAGTAAGTAAAAAGAAATTAACATTAATACACAAATTAACTCGAAATTAATTATAAATGTTATGATATCATGTGGAAGTGGTAGAGATAACTTACAATGGAGCAAGATAAACAAAGAATGATAAAATATTACCTGGAAAAAAAGAAATTAAATAAACAAGCAGAGATTTAATTAAGTAACCTATGAAATTAAGGGAATTAATGATGATCTTTTGAGAGAGAAAAAATTAAGATTGGTACCAAGAAGGCCAAAAACAGCGGCAAAATGGGGATCATGGATGTCTGCCATTTTCTTGGTGTGAAGCTCTTTGCTTGAAAATGTAGACGGGTGATTTAAGGCTATAAGAAAGAGCTTAATTAATTAATATTATATGAATTTTTGTGCATCAGGCAAATATATATAGATAGAAGAAGGTTAGGAAGGTTTATGAGAAGGTCTGCCGCACATTACTTGTTTTCGTATAATATAATAATACATAGCATCCGGATATTTTTTTGGCATAAAAGATTAGATGATGGGAAGGCCGTTTTACAGGCATCTCACTTGGAGCTTGGCGTGTAGCCGCCGCCAGACAACTAAAGTTTATTATTATTATTTCTTTTAGTTAAGTGCGTGAAATACATTTCACTTAATTATTGTTAAGATATAAATATAGTAATTGGTAATCAATTATTTAGATCATATTTACATTATCTATATTTATTGTAAATATTTTATATTTTGAATATTTTCTTTGCAAACACTTATATATTGGTCACTATACAAATAGTAGTATTCAAAAAAGCAATAAACCTTTCTTCAAATATTTCTCCTTTTTTTTTTTTTTTTCTAACATGGTATCAGAGTTATAACCTCCTGGTTCTTCTCTCTTATCGTTACTGCTTGATTTTTTAGTTGGATTTTTAAATCCATTTCAGATCTAAAACTTTGTCGTTAGGATCTCTTCTTTTACAAATTGGATTGTTTATTCTCAATTTTCAAGCCCTTTTTAGGGTATTTTGTTAAGTTTTTATTTCAATCTTGACATCCATTTCTTCATATTTTTTTAAAAAAATTCAGTATTATGAGTTATATTGATTCTATAGCAAGTTTTGAAAGAACTATGACTTATCTTATTGCTACTATGATTACCAAAGAAGTGATAGATCAACTTATTGTCAATCTCTAACATAGGTGATATTAAACCCTTTTAATGCTTTTACTGCCTTATCTACTAGTTTAAATACTTTTTTTTTTTGAAAAGCCAAAGGAAATAATTTTACTAGTTTAAATACTAAATCTTGGTATTTTGATTGTAGTTGTTGTAATCACATGTCTTTAACTATTGCTCATTTCTCTTCAATGTCACCAAATAATTCTTTTCCTAACATTTATTCTATTGGTGTCAGACCCAAACTTCGTTTGCAATCAATTAAGGTCTTGAACTATGTGAAATTCTCAAATACGGTCCCAATTAGATGATATATTCTCTTGTCGTAAAATGTCTTAGATGCCCTTAACTATACATAACTCTCTCTTAGCCACCTAGATTGCCACATGGGAAAACATGCTAACTTGTCATTTTTAATCCCACATGGATGCCACATGGATTCTCTTTAGTAGGAGTTTTTACTCAAAAGCAATTGGGACCTAGCAATGGTGTTCATGTGGTGTCCACGTGGGATTAAAAATGACAAGTCAACATGTTCTCCTATGTGGCAAGCCAGTTGGTTAAAAGAGTTACGGATGGTTAATGGCATCCAAGACATTTAACGGCAAGAGAATATTCCATCCAATTGGGATCTTATTTGAGAATTTCATGTAGTTCAGGACTTTAATTGAGCGTAATTGAAGTTTGGGTCTGAAATTGAGAATTTTGTGCAAGTTTAATTTATCTTACTACAATATGACCAAACATAGCCTATGCAGTTCATGTTGTTAGCTAGTTTATAGCTACACCTTGCTTCACTCACTATGTAGCAATACTTCACATTATTTACTATATTAAAGGTACCATTTTCCATGGACTTCACTTTTTTGCTTATTCATCTCTTGAACTTCATGCTTACTCTGATGTTGATTGGGTTGGAGACCCTAATGATAGTAAATCTGCCACTAGATATAGTCTTCTTCTTAGTGATTCCTTAATGCCTTGGCATAGTAAGAAGCAAACAGTTCCATCTCATTCCAGCATAGAGGTCAAATATCAAGCACTTGGAAACATTATATTAGAGTTACTTCAATTACATTGGCTACTAGAAGATATAGGTGTTCCTCAATCACCTACTACTAATCTCTATTGTGATAATCAGAGTACAATACATATTACTCATAATGATATCTTCCATAAATGCACTAAACATGTTGAGGTTGATTGTCACTTTGTTCACCATCATGTTGCACAAAAAACTGTTCATTTGGTTTTCATTGGCTTTGCTTATCAACCAGCAAACCTTTCCACTAAGGCTCATTTAGCTAGAGGCTTTCATACCCTTCTTTCCAAACTCAAGTTGGTTTCGTCACAACCACCTTGAGAACCAACTTGAGTTTGAAAGGAGATGTTAAGATGTGAACACAATAATTGACAATCAACTATTCAGATCATATTCATACTATTCACATTTATTGTAAATATTTTATACCTTGAAATATTCTCTTTATAAATACTTATATAAGTAATTGTACATATAATATTATTCAAGAAAATAATAAAACTATTTATCCTTCTTTTCTATTTCTAACAATTATTAATGGAAGAGTTGAGTCTTTGATATTGGGTCCATCCAATCATCAATAGTACAGAATGTCCCATAGCATTCTCTTTATTTTTTTTTTGTTATTATTTTTATATTCAGACAACTAAAAG